TATATATTATATATTATTGTTAAGTGCTGTCGAGTTGGTTCCAACCCATAGTTACCCTATATACAGTTTCCAAGGAGTGGCTGGTGAGCTTGAACTGCTGACTTTGCAGTCCAGTGCATTAATCCACAGCGTCATACCAGGACTCCAAATTTTACATTATATTTATTTATACATATATGTGTATACATTGAAAACTATAAAATGAAAAGACATGTAAGTGAAAAAGAAGCTTGTATGAGGTGAAGCATGTTATTTGTAGGTTGTATGTGAGTAATTTATTGGGTGTTTGAATGTCAGACATTAAATAGAAAGGATTTGTCATTGTTTCAGAAAACAGAATAAATGCTATGATAACTGTATACATTTCAAGTAATTAAATATTGTAACCGAGGCACTGGACTTAAAATAATGCTTAAACTATATAGACTTTTGTTTTTACAAATATAGGGGAACACCTGGTGTCACTCCATTAGGATAATAAGTTCTGGACTTCTGATGACAAAGTCAGCGTTCAAATTCACAAGTCTGTTTTTGGAAACCCTATACTGGGATGCTGTGAGTCAGAATTGACTCCATTTAAATCACCAACAGGAGCAGTCTATTGATGGAAGCTACTAGGATGATGATTTGTCATTTTTAATAATACCGTATATTTTTACCTAAACCTTAAAGATGTAATACAAAGTAGATATTTGAAATTTTGCTTCAACTGTTAAGCCATTTTTTCTTTAAAAGCAAACAAAAAAAACCTCCTAAAAACTTACCCATTATGATATGAAAAGAGTAACTTTCCCCTTTCATAAAAAGTTCAAACATTTGAAAAAAGTTTGTGACATTTGATTCTTGAAAAAAAAAAATTTTTTTTTTCTTTTTAAAATAACCAGTGAAGGCTTTTTATGTCAATTGATTATCATCATATCTTTGGGGAAGATAATATTAGTGGAAACTACGAAAAGCAGTTAGTATTTTGGAAATTTTGAAATTAAAAAGCTTTGTTCTTTATAGATTTTTGTATTACAACAAAAGAGGAAGTCATTTAAATTGGGAAGTTTGTTGAGTAAAATACTTAGATCAGCCATATTTACTTTGGGAATAGTATCTTACTGCATTCCTAAGTTTGATTTTAAATGTAAGTTTAAAATTTTTTGCCAAGTACTACATTAAACTTTTCATTGTAAAGCACATATTTTGAATTTTGTTCTTTTATAGGTAGTCACTTTTTAAGGGTCAGCTTGATTTAAAGAAGCAAATCCATGTATATGTTTCTTAAATAATATTAATAGTAATTTGCTTATTTAAACTTTTTATTCCCCTTTTTACTTCTTTATTCCTCTCTACACTTGCTCTGGTGTGCTGTGGGATAAAGCACTGGACCACAAGGTTGGTTTGAACTACAAGGCTGGCGATTCAGACTCACCAGTGCCTCCTTGGAGACCCTATACAGCGTCGCTATGAGTCAGAACCGACTCGACGACACTTAACAGCAACCACTACAACGCTTACTCTATCCAGCCCTCTCTACAAGCATTTGATTACTTGTTTTGCACTACTAGAATACAAGTATAAGAATTTTGAACAATGTTTCTTACATTTATTGTTAAAATTATGAAAAGCAAAACAACCTAGCTACTTTTTCAGTTTAGTCTGTTGTATATGCTGCATTATTACATAAATTTTTATAATTAAGACAGTTTTAAGGGAAGGACACATATAACATGGTTACCTTTTTTCTTTCTAGCAAGATTTGTATACAAATCACCTTTTCCCCTAGATTGATTGATTTCTCTCTCTCTGAAAAGAAGATGGAAAGTTCTTTAGCTTTTGAATTTGTCATTTAATTTTATTATTTTTTATAAAGACTCTAGGTGTATGGTGGCTCTAGAGGATAAGCACTATACTGTGAACCACATGATTGGCTGTGCGAGCCCACCAGCTACTTTGGCAGAGAAAGATGAGGCTTTCTGCTCCTGCAAAGATTTATAGCCTCAGAAACCCTCTATAGGGTCGCTATGAGGGAACCAACTCAATGGCACATAACAGCACAGAGACTTTAAGGAATATTACTGTTCCTTCCCAATAAAAAGGAAATATTTTTAATATTTTTTTCATTTGCAGTATTTGCCAAAATTAATTCTGCTAAACATTCTTACTAATTTAATGATATAATTTAATATTTAAAGTTTAATTCCTTCCACTTTATATCTGAAATTTATTTTTCCTTTTTGGAGAAACCCTTCTGATGTATTTTTCTTTTCATTCGCTGTCTTAGGATGTTTGGGTCTGGCAGAGAGCATAACTTTACACGTCCCAATGAGAAGGGAGAGTATGAAGTGGCAGAGGGAATTGGCTCTACTGTGTTTAGAGCTATTCTGGTGAGTACTGTTCTTACTGATTTAATCTTAAGACCCCTTCTTGGTAAGTACTTAGAAACAGAGTTCTATTTGGATATCTCTTGCAGGTCTGGGGATATATATATATTTATATTTAAACATCTTTTTTATTTTGAGGTAGTAGTAAGGCATTAGGCTTAGTACTAGTCTCGGCTAGGCTTAGGACTTCCTTTGGCGTTAGGTTTATAGTTAGGACTAGGGTTACTGTTATGGGTAGGTGCTAGGCTAGGGCTAGGAGTTATGGCTTGATCTATTTTTAGGGTTACAGTTAGGCTTCCACCCCTCCCTCCCCCCCTTGAAATCTACTTGATTTCCTCTTGATTTGGAAGTTTGGTAACTATATTGTTCCTTCCTTTTACTTTATGTGGTTTTTTTTTCGTTGTTATTGCAAACTGGTATCTTGGGTTCCCTATTTTCAGTCTTTTATTTTACTTTGGATACTTCTGTACTTCTATATCTGGGTTCAGTTCTGGGTGATACTGTCATGTAAATCTCAGGTTGCTGTCTGTTGTTGGTTCTCTGTGCAAAGAACTCCTTTTAGTATTTTTTATACGGTCCGTCTTGTTTTTACAAAATTTTTAAATTTCTGTTTGTCTGGAAATGTCCTAATTTCTCCATCACATTTGATGGACACTTAACAGGATCATTATAAGTCGGAATCAGCTCTACAGCACTTAGCAGCAGCAGCAGCAACAACAACATATGATTCTTGGTTGGCAATTTTTTTTCTTTTAGAGTTTTATAATATATCATCCCTTTGTCTTCTTGGCCTGCATAGTTTCTCTTGAGAAATCACAGTTTAGTCTTATTAATTCTCCTGTGTAGGTAATTTTTCATTTTTCCCAAGCTGTTATCAGGATTCTTTCCTTTTCTGAAAAGTTGATTATAATATGTCTTGGTGATTTTCTTTAGGTCTAGCCTGTTTGGAATTCGTTCAACATCTCTCATGATGTTAGGGAAGTTTTCTTGCAACAATCCTTTCACAATTTTCTGTATGTTTTTTGTTTTTTTTTTGTCTCTTGCTGTTCTGGAATTCCAATCACACATGTTATTCCTCTTGATAGTATCCCACGTAAATCTTAAGCTTTCTTCAGGTATGTTTTTCATTGTTGCTCTTTTTTCTGATTATTCCTCCAGCATATGAAAATTGAGAGATTTGTCTTCAAGCACACTAATTAAGTCTCCCATTGATTCAATTCTACTTCTTTGCCCTTCCAGAGTATTATCTATTCCTGAAGCCTTAGTATTAATCTTCTGGATTCTTATGGCTGTCTTTGTTTGGTTTCCAATTTTTCATTTATTTTGTCAGTTTGTTTTTGTTGTGTTTCCAGAATTCTTCTAAAGTTTTGTCTGTTTTCTTTCATTTCATCTGCAGTTTTCTGAGTTGTTTTCTCAATCTGTTGAAGGTACCTAAATAGTAATTCTTTCAAATTCCTTATCAAATAGTCCTGATATTGTTTCTCTTATTATGTTTTCTGTTTCTATGTTTTGGTCACTTGTTTGGGCTCTCTGTCTTATTTTTTCATGTAAACTTGAATTGTCTGTTTTCTCTGAGATATTGTTGTGTTGTTGAATTTATATTTAATTGCTGATTGTATGTTGGACTCCAGGCTGAGCCAAGACTGTACAGGAGGGGAGCCACTAGCTGCTGGGCTGATGAGGGCAGGGACTAGACCCACACCTGGCTACCAGGTGGGCTCAGGAGCTTTGGAGAACCACACCCCTCTTGCCACCATCCTCCACCGCCACTACTTCTAGGCCACTTTATTGACAGCCATCCATAAAAGCTCAAGATGGCTGTGCCACTCCAGGCCAGTGGACAGGTGCCCGTTTTTCCTCCCTCTTGCTGCTCTTGTTCAGCATCCTCTTCCATTCAACACTCAGTCCACCCTCTCTGTCATATTCTCTCAAGCTCAAGGTTCAAGGATCACCATCCCTATCTGTTTCCTGTACTCTCCCTTTGCCTTGATGCAGAGGGTCCACTCAGTGCGTCTGCCTATTATGTCTTCTTGACCTGGAATTCCATCATTTTACTTTGAGTACTTTTCAATTTATCTTTATTTTAGTATATAATGATCATATGATGTAAACTAATACATTTCTTAAGACCTTTGGGAAGATAGGATAGGGCTTGATTCATTTATTCGTTTCTCTGAGTTATTTAATAGTGACTTCTGCATCATAGTACTCCCTCAATTCACTTACTTAAGTTCAGTAAGTTTATTGCTTTCAGTATCTGAGAATTAATGTGGCTATTAGGACTCTGAGGAGCTCTGGTAGCATAATGGTTATGAGTTGGGCTGCTAACTTCAAGGTCCATGTTCAAAACTACCAGCTATTCTGTGGAAGAAAGATGAGGCTTTCTGCTCCCATAAAGATTTACAGCCTTGGAAACTGTATACAGTGTCACTATAAGTCAGAGTTGACTCCATGGCACATAACCAACCAACATTAGGATTCTAATATTTTATTCCATGTGACCGACCAGTAATATGGAAACTCCTGAACCTTTGAAAATCATTTCCAAAATATGTATGTTAACAAATGCATTGTGTGTGTGTGTGTGTGTGTGTGTGTGTGTGTAAGTCTTAATGTTTTATTTTGAAGAACATTTGAATTAGTATTATGGATCTAGAGTCCTGATTCAGCACTGTGGGTTAATGCTCTGGACTGCAAAGTCAGTTTGAACCGTAAGGTTGATGGTTCAATCTCACGAGTTGCTCCTTGGAAACCCCATACAGAGTCACTATGGGTCCAAACTGACTCAATGGCACTTAACAACAACTTCAACAACATTATGGAACCTAGGAACCCTGGTCGTGCAGTGATTAAGTGCTTAGTTGCTAAACAAAAGGTCAGAATTTCAAACTTAGCAGACTTTCTTTAACTGTGAGGTCGGTCTGACAACCATTTTATAGTAGATTTTGGAAATCATTACTATTACTTATAGTAATATGGGAAACACCAAAGGATAGTACTTTATGGAAGAATATCTAGTTGTGTATCTGGTTTTATATATTTTAATACTTAGATATGACTTTGTAGTTCTTTACAACAAAACTTGATTTTTATTAAATTCTCTAGGTAGTATTTAAGGTGACTTTATCCAACTTCCTGATTTAAAAAGTATATTTAGTTATATAGGAATAAAAAAACTTGGGGGTAGAAATATGCATTAGCATTTTGCAGTACCTAGAAAAGATCTATAAAGAATGGGAAACCCAGGGTCTCAGTTTCACCTCTGCTGTTTAATAATATGACTGGGTAAGTCATTGAACCCATCTGGGCCTAAATTTTCCTTATGTGTAAAATGTAAAACTTTTTAGGTTAACTGTAGTTCCCCTGACTTTAAAAAAAGCCACAACTCTGAGCACTACTGTTTTTAAAAATGCTACAGTCTAGCCTTAATAATAAGATTTTTCTACCTCATGCTCTAGATGTTTTATATGCAACTCTTTACTTTTTGTATTTTTCAGGATTACTATAAGACAGGAATAATCCGTTGTCCTGATGGTATATCAATTCCTGAACTGAGAGAAGCATGTGACTATCTTTGTATCTCTTTTGAATATAGTACTATTAAATGTAGAGATCTCAGTAAGTATGATGTGGTAGAACTATAATGTATTAGAGTGAAACACCTGAAATAGTGTTATTTACCTAGTGAGACTCCAAATATTTGTTTAGTTGAATTCTAAAGTATTCTAGTACAATGAAGAATAATTGTGAAAGTCTATAGAGATCTGTGGAGTCCTGGTGTGGTGCTGTGAGTTAATGCGCTGGACTACAATGTCAGTTTGAACCACAAAGTCAGTGGTTCAAGCTCACCAGCCACTCCTTGGAAACTCTATACAGGGTTGCTATGGATCGGAACTGACTTGACAGCGCCTAACAACAACAGTAGAGATCTTTGTGAAGTCCTGGTGTGGCACTATAGGATAAGCACTGGAGTGCAAAGTTTGTTTGAACTATAAGGTTTGTGATTCAAACTCTCCCACTGCTCCTTGGAAACCCTGTACAGGGTTACTATGAGTTGGTACCGACTATAATTTTTTTTTTTTTTAGATTTCTGCCTTGACTTTTTCCTCTTTTCATTTTCTGTCAGTCTTTACCTCCTAGCTTGGAAGCCCTGGTTTGTCTTCGTACCTCAAAACAGATCATTCAAAAATTTTTAATTTTTTGGTGTGGCCCTCTAGGATAAGCTCTGGACTGCTAACTCATATTTAGGTCGGTGGTTCAAACCCACCAGGTATTCCTCATAAACCCTGTACTTGATGGTAAGTAACATCAACCATGTAAGTTAATATCCTGAGCTGTATGGAAGATGGGAATAGTTTTCTAAAACAATACTCGTAATTAAAGATTGCATATACTATACTGAATAATAGACATCTGGTGTGGCACTGTAGGATCAGCACAGGACTGCAAACCAGAAATTCAGCAGTCACTCCTCAGAAACCCTATGCATGGTTGCTATAAGTTGCAACAACTGTACAGCACTTAACAATAACAACAGCAACAGATACACATTAAAAAGCATGTAGGGATGGTATCTAATGCAGGTATAGGGGATTGGAGAAGCTTTCTGGAGCAGAAGGAAGAGTAATTATGTTTCAGACAGAAGGATTGCCATATTGTAAAGCAGAGTAGCACACCAGATCAAACCTTTGAGATCAACGCCCAACAACCATCAGTGTAATACTAAAGGGTCAACAATTACTCAGAAACAAAGGTAAGATCTTTATCATTTCAACCCCTGTGCACAAGAAGCTGCTGCTCATGGCTGGTATCGGTGATTGCTACACCCCAGCCAGGGACTGTACTGCTACCCTGGGCAACTTCGCCAAGGCCACCTTTGATGCCATCTTCAAGACCTACAGCTGTCACAGCCCTGATCTCTGGAAAGAGACTGTGTTCACAGAATCTCTCTACCAGGAGTTCACTGATCACCTTGTGAAGTCCCACACCAGAGTCTCTGTGCAGTCCAGCAGTGTTACCATAGTGTGGTTTTGATAAAAGAAAAATAAAAGTGAATTCAGCCTGGAATAAAAATAAATAAAAGAGAACAGGGAAAAGAAAGTACAGCAAAGAGAGCACACTGTACATAAAAGAGAATGTTGCCACACGATCATTGTAACTAATGTCACTGAACAATTTGTGTGCAAATTATCAGATAGAACCCTAATTTAATATGTAAGCTTTCACCAGAAACTGGGTAAAATATGAGTATTATTTAAATGGGGAGTGTGGTGGCTTCAGATGCTAAGCACTGGACTGAACCACAAGATCCATGGTTCAAGCTGCCAGCTACTCCACAAGAGAAAGATGAGGCTTTCTGCTCCTGTAAAGATTTTAAAAGCCTACACAGGATCATTATGAGTTGGAACCGATGGCACTTAATGACAACAACATTATTTAAAAAGAGAAAATGAAAAAAAGAAATCCAGGGATAATGATATCAGAGAGGCTTAGGGATGAGAGTTGCCAGGAGTCCAGTGCAGGAGATCCAGCCAAGAGACTGAATAAGACAAGCGTCAATGAGAGCTCCTGATCTCTTTCACAGCATAGGGTCAGTCATAGAACCTTAGGGAGAGCAGTTTTAGGGAGTAGTAAGATTGGAACTAGTTAAGTTAGGGGAAAGAAAATGTGTTGAAGCAGAAAATTTCTAGAGGTTTGAGTATTAAGGGATTTTTAAATGATAATAGGATATAGCCTAGAAAGAGACATGGCTATATAATAATAATGATAAAGACCATCAGTTAGTTATATAATAAATCATTTATTACTGCTAAATATTATATATTACATATATTTTTATACTATTAAATATGTATTATTATTGATATAATAATTGTGGAAACAACATGTTGTAGGGACAAAAACCTTTCTTTTGGGAGACTGGGTTTGATATCCTTTTCCACTCATTCTTTCCACTCATAAATTTCTGCACACACTTGCTTCTTCAGCTTCGTCCTGTAGCTGATGCAGTAGCAATAAAAGTGAAGGTAGAAACTTGGAACCTTAGTTAGAAGATAGGAATTACCATTAAAATGGAGAAATGAAGAATGGTTATATCAGTTGGGTGCCTTTCAAGCTATGTAGCAGGAAGTTGAAATTGTTCATTCTGTGTATACCCTCTTGATTCTATGGTCAAGTTAACTGTGGAATTCCTGCATTATGCTTCATTTTGGTTTTCCTTTAATCTTTTTGTCTCACACCCAGTTTATCTTTCTGCTGTCACCTCTCTTCCTACACTGAAATCTTAATGCTGTTTTTTGAACAACTTAATTTTTTTCAGGAAGAGACTATGCAAGGGATGAAATATGTAGCTGTGTGTGGCACTGTGGGTTAATGCGCCAGACTGCAAAACCGTTTGAACTGCAAGGTTGGTGGTTCAGGCTCACTAGCTGCTTCTCGCAAACCCTATACAGGGTTGCTATGGGTCGGAATTGACTTGACGGCACTTAACAACAACAGCTAGTTCATATGAGTTATCTGACAAGTGTATATTTTTAAGATGTGCTTGTGGGTGTAGTCTCGTTTGCCTACCCATATCTGTTTAGCTTTGCTGTTGTTGTTAATTGCCGTCAAGTCAGTTCTAACCCATAGCAACCCTA